GAACCACTGCTATAATGATACGATGTAGTATTATTAGAAAACTGAGTTTCATGGTACTGTGGTGATTTGACTTTTAATATATATATGTGCGGAGTATCTCTCGTATGAAATTTCCTTTTGGCTCTCTGTCTAGGGGTACGTTAATTGAGCCAAATTACCACACAGACATAACACCTATCTATATACATATAGTAGAGACCGAAACGAAGTCTCAGGTAAATGATAAATAACTATGAGTATTTATTGAATAATAATATTTACAAAATCCTCCTTTACACACTCCTGGTGCTTAACATATTATCATCAAACGGATTTTATCCCAATAAGAAATGTATATTACTGCAAAGCAAGTGTCCCTAAACATAAAAATGCTAAACACATAAAAACATTATCATAAAAATGCTAAATTTGCTAAAGTTCTATGCTCAATCTTGGTGGACTTATCCTTTATAGTCCTAGTGATGATCTCGGTGGATCACACACTAAGGGAAGTCCTTCAGTTCTAGAAGTGTATCCCTGTTCAGGCCTTCGGAGCTGTTCTAGGCGTAGGGAAGTCGGAGTTCCCGGTCGTGAAATATCTGCGATTGGGAAAATGACTCTCCCGCGATGAATCATGGTAGCGAGAGTCCCTGGAACTCGAAGTCCTTTTGGTAGCTGACAGGTAGTTTGGTGTAGGATGTAGATCAATCCCCTACCGTCAGCTCCAGGTAAGTCGGTCAAGTAATGGAAACCAGGCTAAAGGCAAAATGATACAGAAATGGATACGTATCCAAGCGAAAAGCAACGAATTCAGATCGATGTATGGAAGGTGACATAGCTCGTGCATATACATCCAAATTGTGGATGGGATTATAAGTCTGATCATTGTCGGCGTAAGCAGATCTTGCTTCGCGACAATGTTGGACCAAGCAAACATTTCAATTTATAAAGTATGGGACATGCAGTATTAACAATCATTAAAATTATAGGTAGATGATATTCGTATTGTCTTCTTTTTAAAAGAGACATCTGCACTCTAGAGCAAAACCTACCATTCCCATGATGGAATGGCGGTGGGTCGTAGCACGCGGCAAAATCAATAATAGAATTCATAATCTCAATATAGATGAATATAGGCATTATTTGGATAAGATCAAACACGAACGAATAATATAAATACATGGGCAGTAACATGATACCAAAATCATGGTTGCGTACTTACTAGTACTCTAGGTAGCAGTCGCAGTTAAGTATCTCGCTAGTGAAGTACTAAGTCCAGTTACTTCAAGCGTTCACAACTGAGTGATCAGATCTTAAAAGACGTGTACTTGCTAAGTCCTAGGTTGCAGTTATGAAACACGCTAGAGAAGTTTCTAAGTCCAGATCCTTCAGGCGTTCACGGTCAAATGAGCATTATCATAAAAGACAGATTATTGCTTGTTCAGGCTATTTATTCGAGTTGGGTGGCGATAAGGTGATGATTCAATTGGGTGATTCAAATGTTGTATGTTTTTCCGTCCAATGACAATCACTTTCGATATAGCGGGTTTGACCTCCTACCCTCAAGGTTTTTCGGGGTGAAGTGAAAATCCAAATTCACGCTTATGCGTGAGCAAAGTTTTACAGAAATTCAATATCAACTAAGGGGCGCTACTCCGCTTAGTTGTCTCCACGGCAGAAATGAGGGGGTGGGGGGTGATGGTATTAATTACCTCAAGGTTCTTCGGTGGGATGGGTTGACCACAAATTGCACGCTCTGGAGGTGAGCGAACTGAGGCAGGAATGCGATATCACAAGGGAACTCATTCGTGCTAAGCGTCTGCTGGGCAAAACATGGGGAGGGAAGGGTATTATATTACAGGGTATTCAAAGGCGTAGTTGAGGGGAAAGAAATGTTATAAAGTCCAGATCCAGATCACCTGAATGAAACATTTTAGTGCTGGCTTTTACAATTTCTTCTGTGGCCTGTATTCCTCCTAGGCATATTCGTTCCTGAAGGAACCAATTCTGGAGGGTGAGCATTTAAATTTTGTCCGTTATCTGCGGCTTCAGAAGATGATTGACGAGTTGTGAAGTATGGGTTAAATTTATCTTTCCTGGGAGGTACTTGATTGACATAAAAGATTGTTGAATTTATTAATACGTCCTGAGTCCAAACATCTCAGTTCAATCACCCTCCATGTCTTCATATAAACGGTAACGCCTTCTTTTCATCTCAATTTTCTATCGCTCAAAGTTTATCCCATTGTTAGGTTGTATATGCATACTTGAATATAAACAAGTCAATTAGTACTTAGGATCTTCAACATGTTTCAATAGCGGTACCTTATTTGTGGTACATTATTAGGTTTTCATCATTGAAATATTTATGTACAAGGGTTTTCTTCAAGCTCATCAGTTGAGGTTAATTCTGTTTTGCTACTTTTATTAACTAAAGAAAAATACTGCAGAGTTCCGAAATTCCTTTAAATTTCTGACTGTAGATGTTATAATTCCCCCAAATTTCTGGTTGTAGAGCTTCTCTGCCCGCCACAGAGGAGCACAACACATCAGTGTCACTGTGGTAGGGCAATTTTTTTTCTTTATAACTACAGTTCATTAGTTTTGACGTGAAGTTCATCAGCAATCACATAAAGCTCATCAGCCGTTTGCTCTCTTCTTAGAAATCTAAATATGGTTGCGGTGACCTCTAGTATCAAACGCATGGCATTGAAGGGTTCCTTTATCTTTAATCTCTTGCTCATGTTTCTCACGGCTGGCGAGGTTCTGTAACCAAATATCAATGACGTCAAGTTCACGGAACTCTCGACTGTTTTCTTCCGAGTCTAGCGATACAGCTTGAATTCTTCTGTGCTATACAATCTATATTCATCTAATTGTCTTTTCAGGCGTGGTCCTTTCAACCACAACTGCGGCAATACTGGGTGGGCAGCATCTGTACATAATTCAAGGTTGATGTCAGGCATATCTACCTTGATGGATAATTTCTTCAGAGCTTCTTCAAATTCTTCTTTTACAACTGGTTGTTAACATTCTATGTCATTGGCAAGAACAGTGATTACTTGACCACTAAGCGTTGTATCAACTGAGATTATTGTAGTATCTTCATTTTTATTTAGATTAATATGATCTGTAATTTCTTGCAACAAGTCATTCGTAGCAAAAGAAATATATGTGTCGTCTTGGGAAACCAAATGCAAGTTTGACTGGATGCAATTTTTTTAACAAGAATATGGCAATCTTTGATTAGCTGCCAAGATCTGCTTCTCAATAATCTCAATGGAGTCTAATCCTGACCCAATGAACTGTTCTGATAAGTCAGTCAAATTGGTTGTCTTTTCTTGTTTCTTGAAAACACGCTTCTTAAACCTTAACATTAACTTCTGGGAACTGGCTTCATCTATAGCCTCTTCATAGGGCTCTCTCACTTCATTGGGCAGTCTTATTCCTCCTGATATTTTGATTCTGTCAAGTAACGAAGAGGTAATTTTAGTGTTACTCCCTGGTCTCCATCTTCGAGGTTTCTCTTCATATTCTTTTTTGGATATGGTCCATGAATCATTGAGGTAGGAGCAAATTTTATACGATAAGCTTAAATTTCTGCTGGCGAGTTGGCGTCCCATTCCTCTGGTCGTTCATATTTAATGCGTCTGAGCATGGATAAAAGTGATGAGTCATTTCGCTCGGCGAGTCCATTAGCTTCAGGGTGATACACTTGAGATTCAAAGTATGGAGTGTACAGTACTTGAATATCTTTCGAGGCTTTTCCGAGGGGTACCCGTGATACGGTTTTCCTGGGAATAATCTGCTGGCACTGCGTGCGACGTAAGACATATTGCTTTATTTTCTCTCTTATTTCCTGTCGAAATCTATAACAACAAATGCGATTAAGAGATAAACCATTACCTAGGTGTCCACTTAACGTTGCAACTTGTTCTATCTGGGTCATTTCTTTTTGCGAAAGCTTAGGGACAATTAACTGGCTTTTGTTCTCTTCACCTTTTGTACGGTGACAGAGTGATCCTGATTTGAGGAAATCATTCAACTTTCCATCTGGCGTGTCTAATCTCTTCACTAGAGTAGGTGTTCGTGAGAGTATTTATTGTCCCAGCGGAGGCGACAATAACAGGATCAGTGGGATTATCCACATCTCAATAGTGGCTTCCAGATTTTAGATCATGGGTCGGCGAGTCCATGACAGATGCGGTGATAATTACTTGCGCATCGGGGGATTCCTCCTCATCTTCAATCCGAGCTAAAGGCAAGGTCATCGGCTGAGCTTCTTGGTTAGCACATTGCACAGCGATTGGGTTGCTTGTTACATCAGCCGGTTTGAAAACAGATCGTCGTAAGTTAGTGTCATGCGAGCGTCTGGAGTCAATGAGACAACGGACAAAGGTGCCGTTGACTAATTTACTTTCTATGAGTGGCGGGACTGGTTGATCATCTTGAGCATCATTAGAAAGTTGTGTCTGTATCGTGGCGTTCAAGCACGGGCGATTTGAACAGACTGGGACAGCGGTGGACTGTGCCGGTGGCTGTCGAATTGTATCATCACACTCTTGAGTATGAGGTAAAATGTTTACTACCTGGTTGGGTTGTTCGTTGCTGGTTGCTATATCTAAGTCAGCGCAAGGCTTAGGCTGAATAGTATTCGATCTTGCGTCAATGATAGGCTTGTCATTGGCATCCTGGTTATCATTATCATATGGTTCTGCAAATGTCTCCTGAGGAGCGTATAGGCGACTTACTTGTTCTTTGTGTTGTTTAAGACGGGGCGCTGGACTAAAGAGACCGGACTGCTTGGGAATAGCAGTCGGTTCTACATCAAGCGTATGCTTTTTCTTGGATGTATTGCTGGTTGCGGATTCAAGGTGTGCTCTTCGTTTAGCTCAAATAGGATCAAATCTAGAGTCAGATACAGGCTTGTTCTTGGCGCTTTCGTGCCTATACTTGTAATCTTCTTTACCATTCTTATGGGGAGCGGAGTTTCGATTGTCTATATTTTTCTTGGCTGGTCGAATTCGTTTACAACATAGTTTTACTATTTCCTTTTTTTCCAGTTGTGAGCTGCGGAGTCTTCTTTTATACCTTGACGTTGTCGGTTTATACCTCTTTAACAACGCAGATTTAAGAACACGAAAGCTTATGATATCGTCGGCACACCTATTGCTATATGCTCCATAATCATCTCCAACAAGCGTGAGAGCTAATCGGATATTCCATTTATCCTCTGGTATCCAATAAAGGGGGGCGCAATGTTCAAACCTTCTCAAGTAGATATCAATGGTGTCCCGCCTCTCTTCATACTGGTAACAGGGAAATAGCAGGGTTATAGGGAGGATAACTCCATCTTTACTGTAGTATAACATAGCACTGAGCAGACTAATGGTGCCTTGAGATTGGGCCTCAGTGACCGGTCGTTCCTGCGTTAGCTTCGCTTTCTCTATCTCTATCTCCTTAAGTTTGAGGGCATGTTCCCTTTCAGCTTTTTCTTTCTTTTTCTCGCTGTCTGCCTGTTACTTCGCGGCCTCTCTGGCTGGTTGTTTCTCCGCGGCCTCTCTCTCCACCTGTCTCTGTCTCTTAGCGGCCTCTCTCTCTGCCTGTCTCTCAGTGGCCTCTCTCTTTGCCTGTCTCTCAGCGGCCTCTCTCTCTGCCTGTCTCTGTCTCTCAGCGGCCTCTCTCTCTCTGCCCATCTCTCCTCTTTCTTTTCCAATTTCTCAAATTGGGTTTCGACATATTTGGATAATTCGGCACCAGCAAATCCATATGACTCTCCATCCTTTCTGGCATCAGCTTTAAATTTAACAAACTCTGCCATATTTTGCGTAGGATAGTGCCTTACCACTTAGAACTTAGAACACCAGTGGTACGAACCAATGATTTTGATATATACAAATCAATTCTATATTAGATAAACATCAATAAGTATTAAATTAATTTCATAACTTATGCAGAAAGAACATAAATCTTGAGCAGAGCAAATATAGTTTTTTCCTTATTTATGAACTTTTTCGACTTAAAATTTTAAAATTTTAAAATTTTCCAAAGTCGCTAATATCAAAATTATTCAGTCTATCTGTAAAACTATTCTAGCTACCATTTGTTCGAAAAGCATCCCGGACGAGCCCCAATTTATGTCTGTGTGGTAATTTGGCTCAAATAACGTACCCGTAGACAGCGAGCCAAGAGGAGATCTCATACGAGAGATGCTCCTCACTGATATATTAAAAGTTAAATCACCACACGGATGTAAATGGGGGCTCATCCGGGATGGGTTGACCGCAAATTGCACTCTCTGGAGGTGAGCTAACTGAGGCAGGAATGCGATAACACAAGGGAACTCACTCGAGCTAAGCGACTGTGGGGCAAAACATGGATAAGGAAGGGTATTATATTATAGGGTATTCAAAGGCGTAGTTGAGGGGAAAGAAATTTTATAAAGTCCAGCTCCAGATCATCACAGGTACCCATACTATAATACCTGAGACAATGTTAACCTCAAATTAATGTTTTAAAATTATTACATTTTTCTTTTTTTTTAGAATTAGAAACTTTAGAGGTGAAAAAAAAGTGACTTCACAATGTTTGCCCCTTCTCCCCTTTTCCACCTGCAAAAAAGTGTCACATATTCTCGACCCATCCCCTCTGAGCGTGACGTACTTTGCAAATGACCCTTAAATGTGAAAATTTACTTATAAAATAGTTTTATATGTATATTTATCAATGATCAAACCTTGATAAATTACTACTAGGGAAAATACGTCCTATTTGAACCCACTCTCTATTATATTGAAATAAATAATAATACATTCAAGTTTGAATTACTTTATCCATTTAATAACTAAAGAAAATGGACACTCTAGTGAATGCATTTTAAAAAGTGCAGTTTGTTTACACATTTTTAATGTGCATGATTTTGAACTTTAAAAATGGAGCATCTCAACAACAAAAATTTAACTGTTAAGCACTGACTTGTATTGGGAGAAATTAATATCCTATTTTAATTTTAATTGGCTCGTTGTAAACAGTGCCTAACAAAGGACGATACCATTGAGTCAACAACT